GGAACAATTTTGGTTGGGCCCGGGAGGGGGGGCGGGAAAAAAAAAAAAAAAACCAAAAAAAAAAAATGGGGGGTTTTTTCTCACCGGGGGGCACCCGAAGTCTTCGGCGGTTTGTCCTTCACTCGCTCCGGATCTTTGATGGCACTGAAGGACCTGCTGCCAAAGTGCTGCCGAAGACCCAGAGCGAGTGAAGGACCTGCCGCTGAAGTGCCGCCGAAGACCCGGAGCGCTGCCGGGTGAGTAAAAATTAAAAAGGAGCCTCTAGCCAGGGAAGGGATTCTCGGCCACTTGCCCCCACCCCGGCGGCCCTGCCACTGGGCACGGGGCCCTCTTAGGCGCAGGGCCCGATTCGGGGGAATTGGTGGAATTGGCCTAAAGCCGGCCCTGCCTGAAGTCCTGTGCAAATACCCCAGTTTTAGCTACTCCTCTAAAACACTCTCTTATGGTCTGAGTTTGGCGGGGGTAGATGCTATTGTCTTCCTTGTTCACTGATTTTGCCACATGCTGCCATTTCCTTTCTGTGTCACTGAAACAATTGATTTTTCAGTGAGTTTGTTTGCCCTGTCTGACTGGACTTTCTTGCTGAATTTTTTCAGGACCTGGGCAGAAATCATATCTGGTGTTGGGAGGTAGGGCTTTTTCTGATTTCTTCTTTTTTGTTTGTTAAATTATACAACATTAAGGATAACACAAACAGGCAACCAGCAGGCTTTTGAAATCAATTCCGCAAACATTCAGATAGCTTGCCAGAAGCCAACACAATATAATGCACACAATTTCTAAAAACCAGCTAATGTGCTGAGTGAGTTTAAGCTGGTTGTTAATGTTGATTTAGCTGCCTTGTCTGTGTGGGGAGATTGTTCCTACAGGTCACAGAGTAAGAGAGGAGAGGAGAGAATGGAAGAAAAATAGACAACAATTTGAAATACAGAAAAGAAATAAAAACAACCAAATGAAGGCAGGAAATAAAGAGAGAACAGCTAATTAAATAGAATGGCAATGCCTTCAAAAAGAAAGTAGTAAGCCAGCAAGTTGATATATAGTAGCACTCAGCATTACTAGTGGAAATGGAAACATAACTAGGAAGCCATCCAATAACAACTAATATGAACAGCGTCCATCTTTTCTCCCTGTGTTGATATATTTTTTTCCAAGACTCATATGTTTTCCCCTGATGGACATGGAGATTGGAAAGAGAGCATCCTCTTAATTGAGGAAAAAAAATTTCTCATGTGCCTAACTGATTTAGGAGCCTAATTCCCATTTGTAAAAGTTAGATTGGCATGTAGGAACCTAAAGGCTTGTCTACACAAACATTTAGTTAAGGGCCTATCAAAGATACTGCATTTCAGATGTAAGGATAAGCAGGAAGTGAAGGACCAGTGAAAGGTTCACTGATGGCCGGCTCATTACCCAGGCTGTGTTGTTGCACAAGGGTACATGGGGGAATTAAACCTAGTGCTCAAACACAGCCAATCCAGGCCCTACATTCAGGTGCCCAAGATAAGTGGGTTTGCACACTTGCTGCTCACCCCTCTCCCTGTGTATGTAGGTGGGTGGGTTGGCCCCTCTGTCTTCGTTTATCTTTCCATCTAGCTAACCTTCTCCTGACAAACCAGAGAGAGAATTTAAAAGGAAAATTTTAACATGATGTTTGCAAACCATGGTTCTGCTTCTGTGCTCTCTCTCTCTTTCCCCACCCTGTTTCTGGCTTTGTTATCAAAGGGTGCACCTGCCCTGTAGCACCCCCTTCCGGCCAGCATAGCTCTGCTGAGGCCCACGTCAGTTCCCCTTAAAAAATCCACACAGTCCGTATATTAAAAGCATTCCCCTTCTGGGATCCAGTTTAAGTCCTGCACAAAGACTTTCCAAATAGAACTCATACCTACAAAGTCTTCATTCCTGTTTCAATGGGGCCCAGCCCCTCCTCTCTGAGGGTCTGTCTTTCCTTTTAAGTTTACAGTACTTCTTTCACCCCAGGCCCACAGCCCCTCCTCCCTGAAGGTCTATCTGCCCTTATCTTCTGTCAGCCTAGCTGCATCTACACTGAAGGGTTTTGCCAGCATCATGTTTGCAGAATGTGTGAGTTTTGTCACATCCCTAAGCAACAAAGTTGTGCCGACAAAATTCTGTAGTGTAGACCTGACTTTGCAGCACACTGAGGAGCTGTAACAAGGTGTAAGAATATGTAAGTTAGAACAGGGTGAAGGCTACTTTAACTGACACTTCCTTACATTCTCATGCTAATTGCTTTTCTTGCTATTCCTCTCTTCTGACTCCTTGTGTGGGCAACAGCAGCTCAGGCTAGGTCTACACTACCCGCCTGAATCGGTGGGTAGAAATCAATCTCTCGGGGATCGAATTATTGCGTCTCTTCAGGACGCGACAATCGATCCCTGAATCGACGCGCTTACTCCACCAGCGGAGGTGGGAGTAAGCGCCGTCGACGGGGAGCCGCAGAGGTCGATTTTGCCGCCGTCCTCACAGCGGGGTAAGTCGGCTCCGATACATCAAATTCAGCTACGCTATTCGCATAGCTGAATTTGCGTATCTTAAATCGACCCCTCCCTATAGTGAAGACCTGCCCTCAGACTCCCCAGGCTAGTCTACATTACACAGGCTTTGCCAATACAACTGAACCGGTATAGCCTCCTAGTGGAGATGCACCTTCTACAGGCAAAAGGAGTTCCTTCGCTGGTGTAGTTAAACCACCTTCTCAAATGACATAGTATATTGGCAAAAAGACCCTTTTGCTGAGGTAAGCTGGGGCTTTTGCCAGCATAGCTGTGTCAGTCAGAGATGTGGGGTTTTTCCATACTGGGACCCGGACCAACATTGTTATGCTGACAAAGCTTTGTAGTGCAGACCTAGTCACCCATATACTTAGTGAGCCAAATTCAGAGGTGATAGGTAAGATGTAAGTTCCACATTAGTGACTAGATGTGAATATAACTAAGGGCAGAGGGAGTCTACGGGCTTGTCTACATGGGGAAATTTATTGACAGACCTATATCAGTATAATTATACCACCATAACTATGCTGATAAAACTCCTCATGTTGACATTCCATTTCTGGATTTAGAATGTCTTTTTTTTTTTTGGTTTAGTTTATGTCTCTTTGGAAGTGGTTTAAGCTAATCCCCCAAGAAGCCAAAGGAGCATCTCCATGGTGAGTTATACCACCATAGCTATAGCAGTATAATTATACTGGTATAGTTCTGCCGGTAAATTTTCCTATGCAGTCAAGCCTAAACTTGTGGAGGAGGCTGGGCAGACACTCATATCAGTTTAAAACTCGTTTATAGCCATTTATCTTGAGTTGATTGGAAATGGGCTTTGCACGGAAAAAAGGCGAGCCTGGAGATTTAGCAGATGACCTCTGTTTTATGAAGATATGCCGCAAAAGAGAGATAATCTTGCAAGTTCTGCCAAGCAAATAGGTCTTATCATCAATAAATCAAAGAAGGAAGTTATGAAAGTTAATTTACCTACCAATGATTTTATCTGCTTGAAAAGTGAAGCCTTGAAAACTGTGAAGAAGTTTCCTTTTCTGGGTAGCATCATTGTTGGATGTAAAGGCCAGAATAGGTAAAGCAAGTAAACAATATAGCATGGATGTCCAATGGGATAAGCAAAAGATCTTTAGAAGCAACAACCTGAGCATCCTCCTCCGGAAAACGAATATGTCCACCCATCCCAAATTAAACAGCTTTCAATGCAGGTGGCTGTGTAGAATATTCAAAGTAAAATGGCCTGATAGAACAAGTAATGAAGAGGTCTGAGAATGGGCACAACTACTTACAAAAAAGTACAGCAGAAGTGATGGGCATAACTGGGACATCTTTTTAAGAATAACAGGCTGCCTGAACAAGAATTTATTTAGTGACCCCAGGGCAAGTTATTGGAGAGGCCAACCTCCATAGCACAATAGCGCATACTCCGTAACACAATAAAGGCTGAAGCAGCATAATTACATCTGAATATAAAGTACTTGAAACAACTTCTGCCTGATGCCAGGGCTGCCCGGGAGGGGGGGAAGTGGGTCAATTTCCCCCAGGCCCCGGGCCCCACAGGGGCCCCCACGAGAATGTAATATTCTATAGTATTGCAACTTTTTTTTTATGGAAGGGGCAAAATTGCTTTGCCCCAGGCCCCCTGAATCCTCTGGGCAGCCCTGCCTGACGCATTTGATGACAAGGGAAGAATGATGGTGGTGGTGATGATGATTAGAAACTGGTTTAAGATAAAGCAAAAGAAGCCACTCTTAAACCAAAAATCAGAATGCC